AGAAAACATATACGTGGCTCATTTTGCTAAGGTATCCCAAATGCTATCTCTCTTTTAAATCTCTATTGCATCTCATATATAAATATATGAACATGATTCATATTTATTTCAATGTTCAGGAATGTTCCCTCTTTCGAATATGACCATTAATCTTCAATTTAGACCTTAGCAAAAAAACAAAAAATTCTCAAAGCTTAGGGAGCCTACATTGGGCCCGGTTACCTAATATCGTAATTACATCATTAAAACTTTATTCTTGTTAAAATACTTGTTTCATTATTATACGTAAATAGAAATTAATTTAGGAAAAACAAAAAAATATTCATTCACTTAAAAAGATTGTTCATTCATTAAAAACGCTACGAATTAATTCCAATACCTAATATATACCTACATAAAAATAATTATATTATATTCAACTGAAATTCTATGTACATACTAACATCGTAGCTTCAATAGCTTAAAAATGTATCACTTACGAAAGTTGTATTTATAATATTCTATTTCTCCATATATTTTCATTAGAACACAGATAAAAAAAATATTACTTTTTATTGAAATAATTTTTGATCTAGATTCTAAGCCGTCGCTAAATTTTTTATTCTTAAATGCTATTAGAATAATCTGTAATTATTATTTTGAAAATGTATGTGAAATACTTTAATCGTCATGAGTACGATCCGAATCGTTTCGATTGGAAATCGCAACTCGTCATCGCTGCGATCATAATCAAGAAACTGAAAATTTCGATTCAACGCGGAGCAACATGTCGGAATCATCAGGATCGGCGCACGCGACTACTCCACCAGGCGGAAAGGAGAAATTATCCGAGATATTTTTAGAAAAACGAAGGTAGCACGCTAGTACTTGAATGTAGGTCGACATATAACGTAGTCGTTCCGGCGTTTTATTGATTTCCCGCGGACTCAATTCCGGCGTACACGCCGTCGCCGATTTGCCGTTTTGGATGTACGACGCATGTAAAAAGATCACAAGAGATCGACGTGCACTCTAATCAGTCTGACATTTCTCTATCCTACTGGTCACGATTGCCTTTAGAGCGCATAAAACCTGCCTGAACCTAAAGAATGACTAAAAAAAAACATTCTATTCATATACAATAATAACTCATAACAACTCAATATAACTATATATAACTTTTTCTTTAAGATCAATCTTCTCTTTAATACTTGTGATTAAATAAATAATGTTTGTTTTGAATCGAGAAAACTATATTGTGATGATATCAAACAATAAAATCAACATTTCTGTCCAAAATTACAATGATCTTTTCATAAATTATCGCATTCTCTAATAAAGCTATATACATAATATGTATGTTCAAATAATATTTTGTTATCTCCTGGGATGCTATCATCTTTTACATACAATGAGAAGTATACATGCAAACAAGACAAACTGCAAACCTTATTAACAATTATCGAAAAATTCAATAATACGCAAAATTTTTATATATAATGAAACTTAAAAATCTTGCTGTTTTTAACAATCATTCTTCTTCAATAAAAAGCAAACATGGTCGAAGAAAATATATTTTACAAAAATAAAATAAAACTAGGGAAAAATATGTACATTGTCATTAAATAATTCAAGTTTTCAGCAGAGCTACTTTACAATATAAGAACGTTTATATTTTAACAAATTAACAATAGCTATTTTAACAAATTAACATGGAATCACATCAAGAAGAAACTTGAGCTCTATATGCGTCATGCATGATTCAGTTTCATCAGCTTTAACAGAAGCTTACGTCGTATTCCCCAATCCATCATGACGATCGCCTTATTTAATTAAATTTTGTGGTCCCTTCGTCGATTATTGCTGCTGCTAAATATTGGTCCCTTCTTTGTTCCCTTCTTTCGTTGCTCCGTTTTCCTCATGAGAATCCGCTGGCGCCTCAAGCTAATCAGGCGAATCTTATCAATTATAATTATCGATGGACATGAAAACGTAATCAAATTTCTTCGGCATCTATTCTCGCTACAATGATGATGAATTTAAAATGAATTGACTTGAATTTATCCTCAATCTATTTCTATTATGCTCGATATTTGATTTACATGCCAGCGACATTGTCTAAACTTAGACTATGGATAAAATCAAGAGTGGAAGTCGTTCGTATGCTTCCTATCTTTAATAATAATTCAATAGAAGAAATTATAAATCTGCTTAGCTGATCATATTCTTAATTGAATCTCAATGTTAATATTACAGATCGACATTACGATATACTTGAGGAAGATATTAATATACTTATTCAGATACAATTATGTTGAAAGTCAAGTAAACATGTCACTGCAATGGTCGCTAATGATCGCATTAATTAAAATGTTGCTTCGAGTTCTCACAATAACACTCCATGGCATTGACCGTGATAGTTCCCAAATAGATCACAAGATATTTATGAGCCACAACTATAGATTGTGCGATTTGTAAGATAGAGATAACGTATTGATGATAAAGAGTTCATTCAAGATGTGATCGACGAACACTGATGGGTCAATAGAGTATGTCGTCGATTATGCAATTGATAATATTGTCAAATCGATCTCTTTGTTGTTCATGGAAGTCTGATATTTAATGTTGATTTAAAGAGAAGACGAACAGCTCTCACATGTTAATGTAATAACGCATTAGGATAATCTATAATGATCATAATTATAATGATCAGATAAAATCGTCGTTAATTCAGCGACAATTCTTTTAGAGGTATCATATAATAGCCATAACTATCACTATTTGCCAGAATAATGAATTTCAATCGTCTCTGATTAGGTCGACTTTGAGACTTGCATTCAAGTGTCACGTGTTATTGGTCAAGGAGACACCTGCATACTTGATCAAGGTTTTGCGTAATCTGTGCAATATTTTTATTATGTCTCGATAATGATAGGCCAATAGAATTCTTTCGTATTGTCCACTTCTAAGTTATGCATGTTATCAATAATCATTCCTTTATGTGAATTATGAGACTTATCGAATATCGTATTTCTATTGTTACAAATATTTCATGTCAATAAGATTCAATTACATTGGATTACGATTACTAATGGCTTAATTAGTAGGTCGTACTTAAGATTTGATAATCACTTGATCTTTCACAAAATTGCGCAGAATGACCAGATTATGCAATTGAAATAGATTCACTTTCATCAATTCACTTTTCTTTGATATGTTGAGGAGTTCGGGTTCGATAACGCTGGTCATTAACGCCTTACGTTCGCGTGTATAATCGTTATTTATTTCTTTAATCACATACGTGGTTATTTATTCCTTCGTACACATTATGGCGCATTATCGCAATCGTGTGAGTGGGTGGTTCCACTTTCGCTACTATGAAGTCTTTAATACATACGTTGATAATGAGTTAATCGTGTTCAAAGATGCCACACCTTGGATCACTGCGTGTTGCATTATATGCGTATAATTATAACTATTCACTTCTTCATTCAATTATATAGAGAGGTGTTACAGTGAGTAGATTCAATTATGTCACTCCGAATCCTCTGCTGCGTTTCCATAAAACAAATCAACCGTGTATAGTTATATATTGCGTCGTATTTATACATCGCAAAGAATAACACATTTATTTATTCGGTCGAGGCTACAACAGATCACCGAACATGTGGGCGAGTACACTTTTGTCACAAGCTCGATAACGATTGTAGGATTCCGGATTCAATATATAAACGTTTTTAAACAAACAAAATAATTAAGCAACAAACTAATTAATGTACGGATTATTGTACAAAGTAGGCACTAAATCTTGACATATTTCACGCAACATATGCTGGAACAATTATAATTTCAACTCAGATAAGATTAACGATTGCTCGATTCGTTGCACAAATTTTGACTCAAACTGTCGGACATTATGGGCAATTATTTCTCCATGAATGACGATATCGAAACGAGGGCAAAGACGACGACAAGGCGGCGACGATGGCGCCCGCGCACTGGCGCCAGTACCAACGACATGAGCCAACTGAGGCAATGTTGGTATCGGTTATTTTCCTTGCCACCCTTATATCTCCCATCGACTACCCTCTGTTCTTCGATTCCTCCTCCTCTCTCTTCTGTCGCTCCTCTCTTGAACCTTCGCCTTTATCAGCTGATATTAAAAGTTTTTTATTTTTTTATACACAACTTTATAAATTTAATTTTTACTTTAACTTCATTCCTTCTAGCCTTCTTTCTCATTAAACTTTTGTTCTCATCTCGTAAATTCTAATGTCAATCTTTTTTCATTAGATCAATCCTCCTATTTTATCCTATCATCTCCATTTCAAAAATTCTTTCCTCCTCCGCGCCTATTGACTTTTACCTTCTTTTACCATTCTTTTCCATTATAGACATTTTAAGTGATATTTAATAGATATAATTTAAATAGTTCACAAAAAAACTCTGTGTCCAGTTTATTATTCTCGTGCAATACATATGTAATAAAATTTTTACTTGCCTTTTTACAAACAATATTCGCTATCTAACCAAATGTCGATTCATTATTAATATATCTTTTATTAAAATTTAAAAATTAAGATATTGTATCTAAAGTTTATGCAAATTAACTTAAAAATGAAGCATGCAAAAATTATTTCTCTCGCTAAAGAATTAAAATTATATCATATTATTATCTCAAAAGATTTAAATTTAAAAATAAAAACAGTTTGTTGAATTACTGACGTATTTTACATAAAATTATTGTAGTGTTAGAACTTGATATTTTAAATCTCTTTAATAAAAGATAAATTGAAAGACGAAAAACTTAGTATATTTTCAAATATATAATACAAAGATTAATTCCAAATATGAGGAGTAAAAAACATACTTGCGTTATGTTAACACTTTAAGTAACAAAATTGTTCGAACCTAAGCATATCCACTTTCCTCTTTTTCTTTTTCATTCAATTGGACTATCATGTACACGCAAAATTAGAATTATGTAGCAATTAAGCATTGATGTAAAAGTAAATTCTTACCTCGCGTGGAAGGATGATTCATTAATATCGCCAAAGGACACTCGTCATCGTCCAATATATATTCCTGATGCATATTGGCACTCACGTTTTCACTATTAACCTACATCATAAACAAGATAGTGATTTAATTTACAATATGTGCTTTTAACAAAAAATATTTGATGTTTGTATATTTATTTATAATTTCCAGAAATGAAGAAGTTAAAAAAAGAAGTTAAAAAAGAAGCTAATTAAATGTTATAAAAATATATCGTATTGTATAAATCATACTTTTAATTTAAGATATTTGTCTGCTGTATATTTAGTATTCATACAGGCTAACATACTTTTTCTATATTATTCTTTCAATTTCTATGTTTCATGTTCTATATTCGACGAGAACCATGTTCTTGTCGATTATGCTTTGTTAAACTACATTAAGTAAAATATATTATCATTCAATTTTCTGTTTCTATTAACTTCATAGATACATTGCAAACTATTAATATTGTTATTATATCTCATTATTGTGTGTAATCACTTTACTGTTAATTTCTTTTTTATCGATTTTAGTAATCTTCCTTAATAATTATTGAATTAGTTCTTTTATAAATATGTTTTGTATATGCATAAATACGTAATTTTACAGATTCTTATATTTTTACATTCATCTCCTTTTTTAAATTATACTATTTAACAATTTGAGATATCTTTTTAAAATAAAATTTTATATTTTATTTATAGTATTACTCAACATAAAATATCTAAACGATTAAGTTTCATTTATAGCATCGATTAATATATTCCGAATTGCGCTACTTTTTAGATTAAATTGAAATTAGTTGAAGAAATCAATTTTTAAAATCTGCTAAATTATCACCATATATAACAATATTTTATGCATGGATAAATTTCGCGATAATTCGTATATACCTGCACAAGGCAATATAACTGTGGGTCCACTTTTTCCAGGCCATATTTAGAAAGCATTTCTCGCACAACCTGAGCGGCGGAATCGCGCACACTCAATAGCAGCGTTTTGTATGGCACATCTTTGCACAACGCCTCACCATAAATTTTCAATGTGCCGCCTGTGTCAGGACCGCCGTCTTTACTACGAAATTGTTGGAGTCTTCTTTCAAGCTTCTGTTGGCGACGTCGTCTCATCACCGCTTCCGGATTCGAGATACTCCTCGTAAAACTGGTCTCAGGCAATTCTAAAAATAATAATAATATCATTAATAATATAGAAAGAAAAAAACATTCTTAGTTATAATAAGGAAGTATATCATTTTTGTCATTATTTTCATTATAATACGATCGTAAATAATCAAATTAGGATAATAAATTTATCGTTCAAGATAATAATAATATATTATAATAACTTTCAACTTTATATTTTTCTGTATTTGGAGCGCGCAGCCATTAAATTGTTTTCTTCAAATGCGACTCTTCGTACGCTTTCTGCAGCATTATAAACGCATTTTTTGCAGACAAATCCTTTGAAACAAAATTTAATGGCTGTGCGTTGTTCTACTGTATTATTCATTTTCGAATTAATTACCGCACGACACTTGTTCTTTACACGCACATCTCGCAGACTGTCGATAATGCACGCACAGCTTTGAAACTTCGCATACGCGTTCGTAAGGCATGCTAGTATTAGTACATAAAGTTTTATAGAAATCGGACCACTAGTTACAGTTTCTGTGAATGCATTCCGGGATCCCTAACTTTTGGGACAGACTGTGTATATCATATTTATAGTCATTTGAATTACTTGAACTGATTTTAAGTCCGCAAAAATTAATTCAGCGCGCAATTCAAATGACTACGAATATGGTATATATGCATATACATATATAGTATATACAAATTAAATTATTTAAGCATTAAAAATCCAGCTTCGATTGTTATGGGCCATTATTTCCTATTTCCTATTAGTTTTATTTTCATATGTACGGTCCAATAAGATTCTTATTATTCTTATCATTTAATCTTTTTTAATTTCTTTTTAAAACCCTTTTAAAATAAAATATTTTTCAAAGATTATTTCATTTATTCATATTCGTATGTTATTTAATTTTTTAGTAACTTTATGTAAATAATAATTTTAATAATACTCCAGATTAGGGGACCCTCCTCCAATGACCTTGACCTTGACATATGTGGTTAAGGTGTGACCCTGAATGACTTTCAATAGTTTTAGCTAATAATATCACTCGTTATTAGTTAAAAAGTTATTAATAAAAACAGATTGAAAAATAACATTTTATTTTCTGTCATATATTATATAATATTAAAAACTATTCTATATCCTTCCTTGCTTATATAATGACTATTAACTCACCCCCCCCCCCCCGCTTCAGGGGCGCCAAATTCCACGCGAAGCGACTCTCACCCACCCATATGTAATACTCCTATATTGCTAATGTAGCCTCTTTTTAGGAATGGAGGGGGGGGATGCGAAGACAACGAAATACAGAATATCGGATCTCTCACTTCCACAGTACCTCGAATGTGTTAGCATAAGTAATTAATGCGTTAGCATAATTAATGCCCGTACTCATAGTGTGCTGTGATTCATGCTAACAACGTTCATGAGCATCATTTGTCTTCGTTTAACATTTGACAAACAACAAGGATAAAATGATTTTAAGCGCTGTGAGCGTGAATCGAACAGCGGCCATAATCAAACCTTGTACTTAAAACTTCCTTAAATTTATCTTTAGATGCTTAGTAGCCAATGAAATAATTTGTAGAGTATTTGAAGATAAATTTTAGAAAGCCTTAAATATAAGACTTGACTATGAATACGATCAAAATCGCATTTTTGTTTCTTTTTTTAAATAAACTTTTATATAAACAACAATATGGAGACGCGTATAATCATATACATAATATTATTGTACTACGCAATAAATACATGCGAACGAGGACCAGTGCACATGTATGGGATAAAATTGGTTAGAAACGCGCGCGTGCGTACTGAAGCGGATATACTATCTAAGTGAGAGATAGATATCGTCTGCACCGTGGTGTTTTCGCCAGCTCTTAATTGATGTTAGCAATATAATAGTATTTGTTACATATACTCATCTTACTTCCACATGAAGCGACTTCCACCGCATCCCCCCCCTCTGTTTACGGGCGCATGACTTCCATGCGAAGCAACTCCTATCCCATCTCCCCTCTGCTTAAGGGTGCACAACTTCCACGCAAAGCGATTCTCACACCACTTCCCCCCCCCTTTTTAGGAGCGCACGACTTTCACTTTTCACGCGAAGCAACTTGGCGAGATGGGATGGAGCTCGTATAGAAAGTCGTGTGCCTCTAAGCAGGGGAGGAAATTAGATGGGGTCGCTTCATGTGGAAATCGTGCGCCTCTAAGCAGGGTGGAGGTGAGGTACGAGTTATTTCGTGCGCCCCTAAGTGGGGGGGGTGAGGTGGGATGGAAGTCGTTTCTCATGGTCAGTCGTAAAATATATTTTAAAGTAGGACGTTTTTGTTCTATATAGTGAAAGACATTATTATTCAGATTTTTTTTCTTAATAACTTTTTAAGGAGTAACGAGCTAAAATCAATTGGAGGTTACTCAGGATCACAACCTTGATAACATATATCAAGATCAAGATCATTGGAGAGGGGGGGTCCCCTAAACTGGAGTATTACCATAATTTTATACAAACAGTCTGAAAATAATATTTACTGACCCGTGTAAAGCTTCTCGGCGACACCGTTCTGATCACCCGGCATCGCATTCTCATCCTGCTCTAAACTCTTTAATCGACTGAGCTTCTCCTGCTTCTTAATCTGTTTTTTCTCCCGCTTGCTCAACTTTCTTCGGAAGCTAGAACCCTCGGCTGAAGTAAAACCGACGCCTTGCGCATTGGTTTTATCGTCGATCCTCTTCAGCAAGAAGCGTCCCTCCCGATCGTCCATATGCCAATTTAGTTGAACTAGTAATGGTTTTTCTTCTAAATCAAGCTTACGCTCCTCTGTAAACAAAATTCCATATACATTATTATTAACAATAATAAATGGTTTAACAATAATAAGTGAATTTATTAAGACCGTATATGTATAATACACAACAAGAAAGAGTTTAATGTCCATAATGATCGAAGCTGAATATTAAATGCTTTAAATAATTTCTGAATTTGTGAATTTATATACTAAATTATACTATTATACTATTATATTATTTATTAATATTATTATACTAAATATGTAGTCATTTGAACTGCGCATCGAATTGATTTTTCGGACTTATAAACACAAATAAACTCTAATAATATCACAAATTAAAGTGACAAGTAATTTAATAATTTGATGCTCAATTCAGGCATTCTATTAGAAAGATGTTAAGGTACTGAAAAACTGTAAATAAATTTAGTATATAAATTCATAGAAATTATTTAAAACATTTAATTAGAATAAGATCCAGTTTCGGCCGTTATGGATTAAACTCTTACTCGTTATTAAATTAGATTAAAATATTATAGAGAAAATAACATTACTAAAAAGTTACAATTAATTAAAGTACATTCTCCACTCCAAGAAAAATAGACATGAATTTATACATTAAATATAAATGTGTGTACATGTATTTAAACAGCATAATTCAGTTAATAGAAATTTGTAGTATATTAAATATTAATTAAAGATAAAAATATGCGATCTTTTTGGGATATATTCATATGTCCCAGAAATGTCTCAGAAATCTAGAATATTTGAGACACCATGCACAATGCTCGTATATAGATAGAACGGATTAAACTAACAAGGGAACATTACTTTTTGTCTTATTCGGATTTTAATCAAACTTAATACCAATGTTTATCACCATCAAAGATGGAAATATATAAAACATTTCATCAGAAATCCGAAATGTGAAACAATATTTTAGTAGTGTTGTATAATGATCTAAATGAAAAGAAAACTTGATTTTGAAAAAGTATGCTTTCAATCTTCTCATTTAGAACATTATATAACATTTTATATATTATATTCACATTCGAATTAGATACTTGTGATATCAAAAATTGTAAAACTAATATTAGTTTTTTCCGCTGTGCTTATTGAATATATATGTATTCTGTTTCGATCATTCAATAATCAATCTTCATACTTATATTTAATTATTACCCTTTTTAATCTTTAAAAACATTTTCGGGTATGGCATACCTAGGCCTTTTTATTTTCAAGATTAGAACTTTTTTGTTTTTGAAAGGTGACTACCATCTTAGATTAGAAAATAAGCTTGATGATTTTATCTTTATAATATAGCTGTTTCAAGGTGACTTAAAAATACAAAATATAAATAAAAAGGAGCATATAGCCACGACGCTATATGTTTTAAACAAAGTCATATATTTAAATTATTATATAAAAACGTAGACGTTTCGGTCAAGATTTGACCATCATCAGTAGATAGAAATATCAGGACGTCAAAAAAAAAAAAGAAAGAAAAGAAATACATAGAATAAAAACAAAGATCATTAGTCAAAAAAGATGATCAAACCAGCTTTCTAATCGCATATGGTACTTAATGGTAATTAACAGAGTAAATTGAGGTCCAAGAAAAAGAAAGTAAATATTCAATCGCTGATAAACTATTTTCTGTTACGTCTAGGATTCATTATAGGAAGCGAGGTGCGATTTCGTGTGAAACATATATAATTACACATATAATTTCTAGATTCTATTTAAAATTAAGAAAAAAAATACGTTTTCAATAATATTACTTTAACAAAATATTATTATTCGTCAGACTAGTTTTATAATAACAAACGCTTACCAGGTATTTTGTGACGCAAATCTTCGCAAATGTAATTCGGAGTAAATAATAAAAATTAACAGACAAACATTGGAACCACTGGTAAGAATTATTACTAACAAAATGATGATACCATAGCTAGCAACAGTCTTTATACATTATGACAGAAAAGGAGAAGAAAATTAACATGGAAAGAGTTATTCTATTGGAGAGGGGTTTACTTCAATGACTGGTAGATAGATTTCAGGACGTTTTGTGTTACTCTATTTATTTAAGCCCATTTTTTGATATATATCATCTCGGAAACAATCCTTTTATAATAAGATTGTTCAAGAATGATAGTATTATCCCAATCAATCGATGATCTAGTTTGTGATGAGAGATAACAGACAAAGTATTCGTTGGTCGTTTGAAATCTTTTATATGATTTTTTGAACGCGTTTTCAATTTCCTTGGATATTATCCAGATCCACCATGATCTTGAACAACAAGAGGTTTCAAGAGGTTTTAGCCATTGGCCGGATACTTTAGATAATGCTAATATCGGCAATGTTGTAACTTGCAAAGTATTTATAATTCGAAAAGTACTAAATGAAACAATATTTCATTATAGTGTTTTGAAAAGCTCTCGAAATAAGCTATAAGAATATACATGTATAATAAAAAGTGGAGGGTTCTATTTAAAAAATTTAAAATAATTTTGCCCTGATTTTGACGCTATCCAAGGCCAAACAAATAATACTATCTTATGTCCCCCTCGAAGACAAAAAATTTTTGTCTGAAACATTTTTCGATCTAACGCAGTGTTTCCAAAATATTTCAGTGGATTCTTTAAAACGGGACACCGTGCGTGGGTGCGTGCGTGCGTGCGTGCGTGCGTGCGTGCGTGCGTGCATTTTATACATGGGGATTGCATGGAACAATCGATGTACTTAATACTGTCACCTGTCGACTACTGTCATCATTCTTAAAGTATTTCTCCAAGAAATTGAGTTTCTACAGATTTTTTTGAAATTTAGATATTGTTTAAAATAATTATATCTATATGTGGTTAAAATTTCAAAAATCCTAGTGTGCCGAAATGGAGATTTCATCTTCAAAGTTTCAGCTTTTAACACGTAAACTTTTATACCAAGCCTTGCCAAAGTAACGTTTAATACTTTGCGGCGGAAAGACTTCCAGCTCCGTAGCGAGCGAAGAGGTGTAACTGCCTGCGTATTGTATAAAAGCAGAAAGAAGAATGAGAGAATAGTGAATGGAGAGTAAGTGTGTGCGAAAGGGAGAGAGATAAAGGTGAGAGAGGTGTGAGAGTAGAGGAAATCAAGGAGATAAGGGAATAGGGGCTCAAGAAATATAGGCAGAGAAAAGGAAAAAGGTTAAGCGGGAGGAGGAAGAGAGGGAAGAGGTGGAGACTTGACGTGGCGCTGCGAGTTGGCTAGAGAATTCGAAGGAACAGTTAGGGAAAAGGAGAGTAAACTGAAGTAGAATGATAGAAAAGAAGAACGAGGAATAGGAAAATATAGATGGCAAACAGGATAGAGAAACTGTTGGAGAAGAGAGTGAGTTTCCACATAACTCTATGTGAAAACAATGTAGGAGAGATAGAGTTAAAAAAAAAACGTGTTAGAAAAAGGGGTTAAAGAAGAAAAGGAAATTTTTAAAAAGAGTAATAGGATGAGATCGCTGGTGAAAGAGAGTGATAGGAGGGGGAAACGTAGGAGGGAAGGAAAAGTGAATATAGGGAGATGGTTAAAAGAGCTGAGAGAGGAAATGAGAGAAGGATTAAAGGGAGTAAGGGAAGTAGCAAGAAAACAGAATGAAGTGCTAAGGAAAAAAATAGAAAAAGCGAGGGAAGAACTGAGGGAGAGAGAGAAAAGATGGAAGAAGGAAAGAAAGGAAATTAATAAAAGGATAGAGGAGATGAAAAGGGAGAATGAAAAAGTAGGAGGGAGGGAGGAAGAAAAAGATATAGGAGGGGAGGGAAAAGGACTTAGAGACAAGGATAGAGAGAATGGAGAGGAATTGGGAACTGAGAGAAAGGGAAGAAAGAAAAAGGAATATAAAAGGAATGAGAGGAGAGAGGGAAACATAAACAAGGGAGTAGAGGAGGTACTAAAAAAAATAGGGGTAGAAGTTAGAATAGGGGAGTATGAGGAAGATAGTGATAGGGAGGAGAGATTGGGGAGAGATAGCGGTGGTAAAGTTAGGAAATGAAGAGGAAAAGAGGACGGTAGTGAAAAATAAAAGAAAATTGAAGGAAAGTTAGAATCTGGCTGGAAGAAGATCTCACATGGTGGGAAAGGAGAATTAGATAGAAGCTGAGACAGATTGAGGAGATGAAAGGGGAAAGTAGTGTGGGTGAGATATGGTAATATAAGAATTGAAGGAATGTGATGGTTTTAAGACGAAGAAAGAGAGGAACTGAGAGATGGAAGGGGGAGATGGTGGAGGGAGAAAAATGTGAAGAGAGGCAAATACAAATTAATAAAAAGAGGAGAAGTGAAGAGAGAAAGAAGAATCAGGAGGAAATATAAGGAAAGAGGAAGGGAGAGGGAAGGGCATAGAAGGAAGGGATAGTAGGGCGGAGGGAGCAGAAAGGCCAAAAAGAGAAGGGAGGAACGAAGATGGAGAGATAAAGATTGGGTTTTGGAACATAGCAGGGGTGAGAGGGAAGGACAGTGGAGTTTTGGAATGGGCTGGAGAAATGGGATGTGTTAGTATTAATAGACATGAGTGAAAGAAAAGAGATTAGAAGGAATCAGGGAAAGGTTATCAAGGTACAGTATAAGTACATACAGTATGGACACTGAACTTTTTATGTGGTCCTCAATTTTTAATGCGCATTTAGTGCGTCGATTTCCAACCAGGAATATGACTGCCTTCAGCAAGTTGAAATTGCAGGTTAGGTTAGATTAGGTTAGCTGGATCTCCTTCCCATAAAATATAATTAACCCTTTCGCCTACAATATTGTGTGAGACTTGTGGTAAGGAAATTGGGCCAAACATGAGTATCACGGGTGAGAGCCATGATACGTTGTTCGTACATAGCTTAATTTTTTTTTAATTTGTAAGAGAAAAGCATGACAAAAGATTAATAAAAGTTAAGTTTTACTAAAAAATTAAATCAAATTTTTTCGGAGACGCTATATTGCGTAGATTGTTATATTTATATACGATAAAGTATTCTCGTAATAAAGTATGCATGTGAGTGCGTGCATG